CTAACTGTCCAGAGGGAGTGTGCATCAGCAGTGATGTCAGCTGCACCTCGGAGCATGATTGCCGGATCAACCAGCGTGAGATCTTCGTGTCCAGTAATTGCTCGGAGACATCCTGCGAGGCCTCCGATTGCCCCAAGTGCACAGCTTCTGGGAAGTGCATGTGGACACGCCAGTTCAAACGCACGGGTCAGTACTGGACAGGTCAGACACAGGTCACACACGGGGTCATGGCAGCACAGGTCAGATGCAGGCTGGTCTCTGCCTCCCCTGACTGTGCTCCTCCCCCTCAGCCAGCTCCTCCCCCTGGTTGTGCCCCTCCCCCTCAGTCAGCCCCCCCAGCCAGCTCCTCCCCTGACTGTGCCCGTCCCCCTCAGTCAGCTCCTCCCCCTGGTTGTGCCCTGCCCCTCTCAGTCAGCTCCTCCCCCTGGTTGTGCCCCGCCCCTCTCAGTCAGCTCCTCCCCCTGGTTGTACCCCGCCCCTCTCAGTCAGCTCCTCCCCCTGACTGTGCCCCTCCCCCTCAGTCGACCTCTCCCCCTGACTCTGCACCTCCCCCTCCCCCAGCCCCTCCCTGATGGATCACACTCTTTGAAGGATCCCCAGACTGGGACCCACTGTCTTGGGTGTGTTTTTCCTTTTTCCTGTGTTTTTCCTGGTGGTTCCATTTCACCCCGGAGTTCTCAGATCACTCCCTCACTGGAGCTGTTTGAATGGCCCGAGGTTCGAGCCGCAGCTGGGCAGCCCAGCTGGGGCGCAGAGGCGGAAAGACGAGAGCCCCGTCTTACTGGGCTCCCCCTCTCTGTCCCTGCAGGCGAGACCCGCCGGATCCTCAGCGTCAACCCCACCTACGACTGGACCTGCTTCAGCCACTCGCTGCTGAACGTGTCGCCCATGCACGTGGAGTCCAGCCCCCCGCTGGCCTGCCCGCCGCCCTGCCACACGCTGACCACCTGCCAGGCCTGCCTGGGCTCCCGGGGCGCCGACGGCGGCTGGCAGCACTGTGTGTGGAGCGTGGGCCTGCAGCAGGTACTGTCCGTCTCAGGGCAGCGCTAATGTCCTGGAGTGTCCAGTCAGTGTGTAGAAGACCCAAATCTTAACCCCCCTCTTTTTCAGACCCAGCTGTTGGGGATCCTGTGAACGCCTCGGTCTCTCTGGCGATGGTGAGGTCGGGCGACCGGCTGTACCTGACAGGGGGGTTCAATGGGGTGACCCTAGGTCGCATGGTGACCCTGACCCTGCCCTCTGACCCTTGCTCCGTGCTGCGCAGCCCCGATGCCTGCAACTCCACCAGCGGCAGCTGTGTCTGGTGTCGGGGGGGCTGTGTGTCGTCCGATACGGCGGAGAGGTGCGTTCGCCGGGATCGGGAGCCGTCCGGAATCAGACCCCTGTGCCCGGAGCGGGAATGAGCTGCACGGATATGAGACACTTGTAGCCCATTTGAAACACACGTTTTACACAGCGAAGTAGGAAGGACGATCGAATCCAGATTCTCCACATGATACTGTGGTGTAGTTATAGTGTGACGCTGACCAGCGTCTGTCTGACGGCTGAATTTAACAGTCCAGCCCCCCATCTTCTAACCCCTTCATCTAGGACAGCCCTGGACGAGCTGGAGCCTGGCCCAGCAAGCAATGGGCGCAAGGCAGGACACATCCAGGAGGGAACACACTCACACTCACACCACAGACAGTCTTCCCAGGAGCCAGTTAACCCACCAGCATGTCTTTGGACTGTGGGAGGAAACCAGAGCACAGCGGTCGGCGAAACTCATGCAGACTCCACACAGAGAGCAGCCACTCCTGAACACTGGCCTCTCACACACTGCTGTCTGCTGACCGGTGTCTGTCCGGCTTTCTTCAAGAACAGTCCTGAGTGGTTGCCGAATCGGAGCCTGACTCCTCTCTCTCCTCTTTCCCCTGTTTCTCTCCTCTCTCTCCTCCTCTGTCGCTCCCCAGGCTGGGCTGTGCTGTCGGTCACTCTCAGTGCTTCCCGATGCCCCGGTTTCCAGATGAGTGTCGCAGACTGAAGACCTGCAGTGAGTGCCTGGCCAGACACCCCAAAACCATGAGCCTCGATCCAAGACAGGTACACATTGACACCCCAGAACTGTACAACCCCACAGCCTCTCTCCCAGTGCAGTGTTAATGTACTGGAGTGTCCAGTCAGTGTGTCTGTATTAACCCCTCTCTCTC